TGAACTATTCTGTTGCTAAAAATGCAGCAATGAATCTTTCGTTGATAAAATATTTGAAAATTAATTCCATTATTCTTCCTAAAGACCACAATATTGTATAGCCCTGCCTGCATTGCTCGTCCGTGAAAGCTCTTGCCTAAGCTGAGAAAATGTGCTCGGTGATGGGCGAAAGCTTAACTAAATGAAATGCAGTGTGCTTTCCACTCATTTGGATTCTAACCTGAGTGAAGTGGCCTAGATCTCAATGAAGCACAGAGTGAAATTTATCCCCTTTTAATTTCCTGCTCGACCATTTGGAGAAGCAGTAAATGAGTCGTTCATTGCATTTTTTCCTCCTTGGTGTGGCCATTGAAGGTTTAATATCTATTCTCCTAACCCCCTTTAAAAAAAAAAAAAAAAAGAAAGATTATGAACGTTATAGATGAAACAAGATGTTTATCTAATAATTTTTTTTTTTTTTTTTAAACTTCAGGGGATTTCCTACCAAATGTCTTCCCCGGTTGTCTGTCCTCAGTAAATATGCATAATGACCCTACAGACAGACGACAATGGCTGTAGTATCCAGAGGCCAACTACAACCCCAATTCCGAAATAGTTGGGACGAAGTGTAAATTGTGAATAAAATCAAAATGCACTGACTTTCAGATCACATGAGCCAATATGTTATTTACAATAGAACGTAGATAACATTTCAAATGTTGAAACTGAGACATTTTACATTTTTATCCACAAAATGAGCTCATTTCAAATTTTCTGGCTGCAACAGGTCTCAAAAAAGCTGGGACACAGGCAAAAAAGGGCTGAAAAAGCAATTAATATATAAGAGAATCAGCTGAAAGAACATTTAGCAAGTAATTACATTAACTGGCATCAGGTGTGTAACTTGATTGGCTACAAAAGGGATGTCTTAGAGAGGCTGAGTCAGTAGTAAAGATGGCCAGAGGCTCTCCAACCTGTGAAGACTTGCACAAAAAAAAATTGTGTAATACTTTAAAAACAATGCTCCTCAACGTCAAATTGCAAAGGCTTTGAAGGTCTCATCATCGACAGTGCATAACATCATCAAAAGATTCAGAGAAACTGGAAAAATCTCTGTGCGTAAGGGACAAGGCCGAAGACCTTTACTGGATGCCCGTGATCTTCGGGCCCTCAGACGCCACTGCATCACACACTGGCATGATTCTGTCATTGACATTACTAAATGGGCCCAGGAATAATTAAAGAAACCACTGTCTGTAAACACAGTCCACCGTGCCATCCACAGATGCCACCTAAAACTCTATCATGCGAAAAGGAAGCCATTGTTGAGCATGATCCAGAAGCGCCACCGTGTTCTGTGGGCCAAGGCTCATTTAAAATGGACTGTAGCAAAGTGTCCTGTGGTCAGACGAGTCCAAATTTGACATTCTTGTTGGAAAGCATGGGTGTTGTGTCCTCCGGGCTAAAGAGGAGAAAGACCACCCCTCCTGTTATAAGTGTTCAGTTCAAAAACCAGCATCTCTGATGGTATGGGGATGCATTAGTGCATATGGTGTGGGACACTTGTATGTTTTAAAAAGCACCATGAATGCTGAAAGATATATAAAAGGTTTTAGAGCAACATATTCTCCCCTCCAGATGACATCTATTCCAGGGAAGGCCTTGTGTATTTCAGCAGGACAATGCAAAACCACATACTGCAGCTATTACAACAGCATGGCTTCGTAGTAGAAGAGTCCATATGCTGAACTGGCCTGCCTGCAGTCCTGATCATTCACCGATTGAGAACATTTGGCGCATAATTAAACAAAAAGTCCATCAAAGGAGACCCAAAACTCTCCAGCAGCTTGAAGCCTGTATTAAACAAGAGTGGGATCAAATTCCAATGGCCAAACTCAAGAAACTTGTCTCCTCAATGCCCAGACGCCTCCACTCTGTGTTAAAAAGAAGAGGGATGCTACACCATGGTAAACAGGCCCCTGTCCCAACTTTTTTTTGAGACCTGTAGCAGCCATCAAATTTGAAATGAGCTCATTTTGTGGATAAAATTGTAAAATTTCTCAGTTTCAACATTTGCTATGTTATCTCTGTTCTATTGTGAATTAAATACTGGCTGGTGTGATTTGAAAGTCATTGCGTTTTGCTTTTGTTCACAATTTACACTTTGTCCCAACTATTTTGGAATTAGGGTTGTATCATTATGTGGGAGCACCTGCCAGTAAAAAAAAGGTCTATGCTGAAGTATTTTATTAACTATTTTGTAAATCCTATTTCCAGTTTAACTACTTTGCCCTGGCAGATGTTTGATGATGGAAGTTTTGAATATCATGTAGCGCAAAGGCTTGACTGCGATATTAGTGCTTACATAATGAATTTGGCAAGGAGACATTCTGTGTTGCGGCATGCACGTGTTCCGACGCACTCCCGCTGCAGCTTGCACATCGAGTTTTACCCAGTTAACACAAAACTGAATTTCCTAACCATTGGCTTATTTCAAAGCTGCTGAGGTCTTTCCCATATTGTCTCTCGCTCATGCTTTGCGGGGTGTGTCTTTGCCATGTGCAAGATGACACTATTGACTAAAAGGAATTGGGTTTCAATGTTCGTATGTAAATTTTATACAAAGAGGAAGGGAAGTATTGAGGCATTCTCCGCCCATATCTCATAGAAATGACGTGATCAAAGATCAAAAAGATCCTTAATGACTGGATTTAGCCCTTCATTTTGAGGCGCAAGCTGTTATTTTGTCTGATGTTCGCTTGTGTGTGCTTCGTTGCTGTTATTACTGGTATCGTGACATTTTGATCCTACAGTTAATTTGCGTAGTCTGATTTTGTTATTTCGTGGCTCCTAGTCCAACACTGTAATGCAAATGTAGAGACTTACTTTCTGGATCGTCAGCAATTGGTATAACAAGCAGTCCTAGCAAGTCTCACGTCATACTGTTAAATATCAACATTCATATTGATGTTTGTATTCATTTTACTCAATTCTGCATCAATATCTGTGAATTTAAAAGTAAAGGCACATTTGGCACAAGCAACGCCATGAGAAACTTCAAGGCGCTACTTGCTGTTTTTTGTTTTTTTTTTTTTTACAAAGACAAATCATAAGATGACTGAATTTGGATGACAACTAAAGTAAATGTAAATAATACGTTTATTTGTTTTGGACCTTAATTGTAACCACCTCTCAAGAAATCTGGGATTTGTCCATTCTGGAAGTAGTATATAAAGTGAAAGCAAAGTATTCAAGTTTCAAAGTATTTGATTGTGCTGAGATATGGAGGTTAGATGAATACTTTATTGATCTCAAAGTAAATTCCGGTATTTCTGGTATGGGGGTAATTAGTTCAAAAGATGGGTTATCTTTCTGGCAAGAAAATCTACTTAATGACCATGTCCTGTGTAAACCATGTCTGAATTCCACTCGGTGTCCCCGAATTACGTGACTGTGAGTTGTGTCCTTTTTATCCTGACTGATTTGACTATTGCCATCACCAGCGATCATAAGATTAGCATGGTTTTATTTCTGGGAGATAGTGCCCAGATTTACAAACCTAATACCATGGAACGGCCTCACTGTTGCAGGTTTGTCGGCTGCTGGGATTCTAATGCGGTGGCAGTGTGGACTGCATGTATCTGTAAAAAAATGTGATGTGCCTCTGTTGTGTTAAACAGAACAGCCATTTATTCCTCAGTTCTGGTCTCTGATCAGTACTCTGTGTAGTTATCCCATTAACTTGATAATCTTGGGGTCTGTTCCACAAAGCAGGATTGCTGAGTTAGCCAGATAACTGGCTGAATGTAAATGCAGGGCAATTTTACTATAGTCCATGCTCCAGATTTGAGAGGTTTCCAGGTTTTACTCAGTGCAATTATCCAGCTAACTGGGTAATCCTGCTTTGTGGAACAGGTTCCTGCTGCGTGAAATTCTTCTGGTTATGTCAGTGGTAAACAAACTTGTTTCTGGAGTTTGAACCCACTGCAGGTTTTCATTTCATTGCTAATTTCTCAATTCAAGCCTTTATTTAAACTCGGAACCCACTGAGGGAGACCCTCATTTTCGGTGGGGCAGAGTGCACAAATGGACAATTATAAAAACAATACATCATACAAGGAAAAAGGAGAAAACACAAAACGATGAATAAAAAATTAATTAAAATATTAATCAAAATACACATATGATGATACCGAAAAGTCTCGGATCTTGGCCTTAAACTGATTGAATGATAGAAGAGAGACCAGTTTTAAAGTGCTTTGTAGTACATTCCAGGAATATGGAGCTGAGAATTGGAACGCGGTCTTGCCAAGCTCAGTCCGAGCACAAGGGACCTCAAGCATAAGCTAGTCATTTGAACAAGTAGGATAAGGGTTATCATACTGTGTTAGTAACATGGAGATGTAAGGCGGCAATATGACAAGAAGTGCCTTCAGTATAAACAACAACCAGTGCCTATTTCGCCTCATTTCAAGAGATGACCAACCAACCATATCATATAAAAGACAGTGGTGAGTATTATAACGTGCACCTGTGACAAATCTAAGGGCAGAATGATAAACTGAATCCAGCGGCTTTAATGTCGTAGCGGCAGCATGTCTATAAATTACATCTCCATAATCCAGAACAGACAAGAAAGTTGCTTCCGCAATTCTTTTCCTGCAAGACATGGGAAAGCAAGATTTGTTTCCGTACAAGAAGCCAATTTTCTGACGGAGTTTAGTGACAAGGTTTCCAATATGATATTTGAAATTGAATTTATGATCAATCCATATTCCAAGATACTTATACTCTGAGACTCTCTCAATGGAAGAGCCATTTGCCGTGGTGATGCATAGACTATTTTTTGCATTTGTAAAAAGCATAAATTTAGTCTTACTTGCATTTAAAACGAGTTTAAGGCTTAAGAGTGCCTCTTGTGGGGCATTAAATGCTATCTGGAGTCTTTCAGTTGCCAGTTGTACAGAATCTGCTATACAATAGACAATTTTATCATCAGCATAAAAATGGGTTTGGTGAGCTGCCGGATGGCTCAATTGGAAAAGCATCGCACTGCGAAGCAGAAGTGACCAACACGGCGCGGGTTCGATCCCCGCCTCGTACCAACCAGCAGTGGTCGGCAGCTCTTTTCAGAAGTAGCGCGCAATTGGCCAATGTGCTACAGGGATGCAAATTGGGAAGGGTCTGCTGGGAAGGGTTATGGAGATGTAGTTCCCCTAGGCGCCTCCTGTTGGCCACACGGGCGCTCATAAGGAAGATTCTGAGCTCACTGGTGTTCGGGTATCCTCCGCCCTCGTTCTGAGCTTGTGAAGTCTCAACCAATGAATGTATAAGAAGTAGTGGCTGACGGGCATGTGCTTCGGAGGAGAGCCACGAGCTGTCTCATTCTCCCGAGTTGGCAACAGGGGGCTGCATATGTGGAAAAGCCAAAGTACTTGTACATAGTTCCCTAATTGGATATTCCAGACTCGGGTGGGATTGGAGATGCTAAATAAAAAAAAAAAAAAAAAAAAAAAAAAAAATGGGCTTGGTGGTTTTTTAGTGTAGAGGCAATATCATTTATGTACAAAGTAAAAAGGACAGGACCCAAAATCGAGCCCTGCGGTATACCTTTTGAGATGGGTAACAGCTCTGATTGGAAATTTCCTGCCTTCACGCATTGACGCCTCTCTTGCAGATATTTTTGAAAGAATTTACAAGCAGTAATATCCATACCAATATTTGAAAGTGTTTTTAGAAACAAATGATGGTCTACAGTATCAAATGCCTTGAGAAGGTCTTCAAAAAGGGCAGCACAATGCTTCTTCCTATCTAACACAGTTAAAATGTCATTTGTAACCAAAGTTACAGAAGTGATTGTACTGTGATTTGATCTAAACCCAGATTGAAGAGTGTAATGGCCGGAAGAAGTAGGAGGCCAAGTGCAGCGACAAGAGGGAAGCGAGCAGCACGGACACAAAATAAACACAGAGAATAATACAGACCACCAGAACGTGCTCGCGCTTCCAAAGGACGTATAATAGTTCGAAACACGGAAGCAAAGCGAGAAAGGAAAAAGGGAGAAGAAACTCCAAAAAAAACGAGAAGATAGAAAGTCAAACAAATCCTGACTACATATGTCTTCCGGCTATAGTGCGTAGCTACAAACAGACACTCTAGCAAAGAGGCGTGGTGAACATCCGGCTTATATAGAGTCCGGGGAAGCGCCACCCCAGTTCAATCAGCCAGCTGGGTAAAGAATCCGATTGAACAGGAATTCGATATCGTCCCAGGACGAGAGCCACAAAGAAAAGTCCAAAACACACACACAAACATCCAGAACCATGACAGAAGAGGACTGAGAATTGAATAAGATGAGAGGTAGGATTTGTGTTGAGTGTTAACTAAGGTTTCGAAAATTTTTGCCAAATATGGTAGCTTAGAAATTGGCCGATAATTATTTAACTCATTAGTGCTGCCACCTTTATGTAATGGAGTTACATGGGCAGTCTTCCAGGCCATAGGTAAACAACCTGAGGCAATGCAGAGATTAAAAACATGAGATAATTGTTCAATGATGGATGGAGCTGCCAATTTTATCAGGTAAGCATCAAGATTATCCTCTCCAGTCAGTCATCTGGCATTTATGGCTTGCATAGCATCCAGAACGTCAATAGATGAGAAGGGTCGGAATGTGAAAGAGGAAGTGGAATCCATTTTACCCACACATGTATCAGGAGCACTGGGACGATCAGAGTAGATTTTTTAAAATAAGTGGCCGGTGCATATGAAGTGCTCATTAAAGATTGAACAAATTTCTTTTTGATCAGCAATTTCACAGTCATTTAATTTAATATGCAAAGGAAGTGAGGCACTAGATTTTCCATTTATGGAGTTTACTGCTTTCCAAAACTTGGCTGGATTAGGAGATGAATTAGTTATTAGATTCAGATAGTAGGTAGATTTAGCCTTTCTTACAGCTGCAGTGCATCTATTACGAGCCTGTCTGAAAGAGCCAGTGACTAGGATCGCCAGATTTTCTAGCTAGAGCCCAGGCTGAGTTTTTCAATTTAAACTCGGTGGACAACTCTGGGGTAAACCAAGGAGTCATTCTGTATTTAATTCTAATCTTTTTGAGTGGAGCATGAGCATTAACACCTGAGTTGAATGTCTCAGTGAAGAAGTCCAGTGCCAACTGAGCATCATAGTAATTAGATGTGGAACTAACGTCACTATGAGCAATATCTGCGAAAAAGGATTGTTCATTAAAATGTTTAAAATTTCTTCTCAGGGCCACATAAGATTTGTTCTTTTCTACACGAGTGCTTCTGATACATGCAGTGGGGCAATGATCACTGAAACCTAATTCAAACACTCCACTGGCAACAATTTTGTCAGTTCTGTTGGAAAAAATAAGATCAATCAATGTGGACTTCGAACAATTCTTTAAATCAGGCCTAGTGGGATCAACTAACAATTGAGTCAGGTTTAGGTTCCCACCGATCTCTTTAATTCAAATTCAGATTATTTTAAACAAGTTTAAGTTAAAATCACCAGTAATAAGTTCCTCATTTGCATATTGTGCAATTAGATTCCCAAGTGCATCAACAGAATCCTTGCCAGCAGATGGAGGTCTGTAGACACCAGCAATGACAAAAGAGGTAGGCCCAAGGTGAATTCTCAGACTAATAAATTCAAAATATTTAGGCTTGGTTACAGAGTGCAATACAGTGACTAAGATATTAGATTTTATATAAACTACTACCCCCCCACCCCTCCCAACCCCATCCACCCTAAAAACATTATAGCCCCCCAAGGCAATATCAGAGTTGGTTATACTTTTTTTTGAGCCATGATTCACTCAAAACAAGAATGTCTGGGGCAGTCTGTGCCACAAATATTTCAACCTGATCTAACTTTTGATATAGGCTTCTTACATTTACATTTCTTACATGGGTATGCGCGGAGGCAGCGTCTCCAGGCAAATCCAAGATGACGGACTCGCGTTAGACAGTTGTAGGGAGCAATTTTGGTGATTTAGCCACTGAAATTCAGTCAATAAAATTTCGAGTTTAATTTCTTGTGCTGCTATACGTGGTAATCCATGTTACTGAGTGATGACACACCGGGTTGCAAGGGCACGCGCAGCATGCATTCACGATATTAATATTCTAAAGCCCCTTCTCAATAATAAAATCCCCAAAACATATTGGCGCCTTTTAAAATCGTACTGGCAAATAAAAAGCCAGAAAAAAGCAGAGATTAGATATGGAATTCTTTCCACGCAAGAGTTAACTACTCCTTTCTGTATATTTCCCCATTTAAAACTACCTAGGTGCATACTGCAATGCGCTGTATTGGAATTTTGGCATGTGCACTTGGGCATGGTATGATATGATATTGCTAGTGAGAAAGCTGACCAGCAGGGAGAGGGGACAATTGAACTGTGGCACGGTACCGAACAATCGTACCTTGTGCTTAAGCGGTCTGAGAGTTTGTATTAAAAACAAAACACTCCGCCGTAGACCGCAGTTAAGCGTGCTAAGCTTGGAAGCTGCCAACCTAAGTGAAGAAATGTCAGTGCGCACGCGCGCCATAAATATAGCCCCATATCACAATGTACGGCGCCGTAGATATAGCCACTTCCTCGAAAATAAGGGTCCTGGCACCATATGGGCAACGACAGGGAGGCATGAGGACTCTAATTGACTGGCGCTAGGACCCAGGGGAAGTCAGTGGTCGAATGACTCATCATGACGTGTCGACGATGTACAGGTGCTTTGATTATCTGATAGTTTGACTGAGATTGAGATAGCATACGAAATGTTTGCAGCTAGAGCATGGGCTCCCTGTGGGCTGGGGTGAATACTGCCTCTTTTAAAAAAGGCTGCACGTTCCCAGAAAAGATTAAAATTATCATTAAAAACAAAGTTGCGCAAGAAGCACTCTGACTGCAACCAGGCATTGAGGCTGAGCAACCTGCTAAAACGCCCTACACTCCGACGATAAGAGGGAATCGGCCCAGAAATAAACAGTTTTTCCGCAGTCCTCGAGCAGTTTAAAAAGCGTGATAAAAATCACGTTTTAAAACCTCGGATTGCTGACGAGCAGTGTCGTAATTCTTGTTGGCACCAACAACATTTTTAGTGTGAAAATGTTTGTTAAGAAGAGACGGGACCAGTGGTTTAATCATGTCTCACACCTGACTCTAATAATCGGGATCGCAACAAGATGTCTACCTGTAGACGGAGGTGTGCTTTGTTAGGGTTGGAGTGTAAACTGCCAGGAAGGTAGATCAGTATTGTTGGTTACCACTGGGTAATTGCTTAAACTAGTTATGTGTACATATCTATTGACTCCTGGATGAAATTTCCTCTTGACCAGGGGCTGATTATCAACAATTTCGTCCCAACCATTTGGTTGCTTGATATCAATGAATTTGAAGAGAGGTATTTTTGGGGGCATGGAGAATCACGTTGACAAGAACAGTGAACTTTTTGTAGCCAGACACACTGAAACCCAAGGGCGAAACATGTTCAGGCACATCAGTATATCATAAGCACCACATCTCTGAATAACCTGCAGTTGCTCTCATGTAATGAATGGCTACCATTGCTTGTTTTGTGCAGTAAATTGCAGGGCTTTTCTTGGTGCATCATTCACGCAAACGCCCGCTAGCAGTGTGTGAATCGGGCACTTATCACTCCAGGACACGTAAAGCCATGCTCGTGATGGAAAATGTATTTATTTTTGACGACCACAGGCCCAAAGAACATACAATCAATTATAATTTGCATGACGTATTTACAATGAACAATTTCATCAGGTGTCACATATAATTTACAGTAAACAATTTCTCAGTTTCATTGCATGATAAATATAGGTACTGTGAAAAAGTATTTGCCCCTTCCTGATTTTTTTATTTTTTTGCTTATTTGTCACACTCAAATGTTTCAGATCAAACAAACTTTAATATTAGACAAAGATAACCCGAGTAAATACAAAATGCAGTTTTTGATGATTTTATTTATTGAGGGAAAAAGCTATCCAAACCTACCTGGCCCCATGTGAAAAAGTGATTGCCCCCTAAACCTAATAACGGGTTGTGCCACCCTCGGTGACAA